AGATATGAATTTGTTATTTTCTTCGTTTTACTGTGCATCAGTTTGAAATAGAAACACATCAAGCTTTGCCTGAACGAAAATGTGCTTATACTATTAACAGTATAATTAAAATATTTCATCTGGTTTTGTAAAAGAAAAAACAACAGTAGGGGAGTATTGTTGGGTTGATGTAAAATCAACAATTTAATTATACCCACTGTGAAAAAATCACATAGAACAAATCTATTTCTTTCTGTATTATTAACAGTAATTCCCCCTGTTTAGCGTTCATTAGCAGTATTTAAAACAGGGGTAGTTTACTAATACCAATACTGTACATTTAAAATGTCCTTCTAATTCTTTAATGTGTGTGTATGTATTAATGTTAAATACTGGTTATTAGATTAATTTAAATCCTTATCAAAATCTCATGTACATATGCTACAAAATGTTTTTTTGTGGAGATGAAAGAAAACCAAATCCTTCGTGTCATGTTTAAAACATTATTCTGCTGTGCATGCAGTGAACACATCTGTACAGTTAAATCGTCCCAGCACTTAAAGGTAGGGTAAGAATAGGCGCTTTCACACTGCAGTACTTTTCCCACAAAGGTTCATGAGAACTTAGTTAATCAGAACTCTTTAGTTCTGATGAACTAAGTACAGATCGCGTTCACAACGGAATAAATGCCTGGGGGTGGATTAGGAAAATTAAGCCGCTGACGTCACTTCTTCTTCTTCTGCTTTGGGTTTACTGGCAGGCCGCAAACAACTTCACGCGTATACTGCCACCCGAAGTCCCCGGCCGGAAGTCCCCGGAGTTGGGGACTGGCTTCAGTAGAAGCTGCTGGGAAAGCCTTCCGAGTAAATCGCCAGAACGCCGACACCTCCTCATCTCCACCGCTCCCATGTTTTATTTTGTGTTGCCATAAGTTAGTCTCTCTGCGTTTCTGTGCCGGGCTAATGCTAATGCTAATAATGCTAAAACGAGGATAATAAAATGACGGCTTCACAAAACTTTTTGGGAGTTTTACGGGGCGTGGTTTGCAATCCGCCCAGCCAATCAGAAATAGGAACCTTTTTCTCCCACGAAAGTCCCTGGCAGGGACGGAAAAGGGGGTAAAAAGGTGAACTCATTTTAGTTCCGGCTCTTTTTGGTGTGAACGCGACATTTCAGAGCTATATCGGAACTAAAGTGGGAAAAGTACTGCGGCGTGAACGCGGCNTTAGGATAATAAAATGACAGCTTCACAAAACTTTTTTTGAGTTTTACGGGGCGTGGGTTGCATTCCGCCCGGCCAATCAGAAATATAGCTCTTTTCTCACAAGAGAGCCGCATGAGAGTCCCTGCTCTCTAGCAGGGAGGGAAAGGGGGTAAAAAGGTTCTCATTAACTAATTTTAGTTCCGGCTCTTTTTGGTGCGAACGCGACATTTCTGAACTATATCGGAACTAAAGTGGGAAAAGTACTGCGGCGTGAACGTGGCAATTCTATTGTAATATGGCTGTCAGTGTCAAGGGGAAAACAACGACAAACAAGGGTGACTATTTTAACATTAAAGGTAGGATAGGTCAGAATGGAGAAACCAGCTCGAGTGCGCTAGAATTTGAAAGTACACAACCGAAAAACATCTGCCACTGCCTTCAGACTTCCTTACAGAGCCCCTCCTCCAACACACACGAACGTGCACATGACCAATGAGGGCACGAGATAAGTTTGTGCACAGATGGAAGGCTGATAGGCAGGTAGGCCATCCAGTTACTTTAGCCGGGCCGGCTCAGATGATTGGTCGTGCTTTTTACAGCGCCACGGCTTCCACAGATGAAATTTTTGTATGTATTAATTGTCAAAGGACTTAATTTATTCATTGCTATCGAGATGTTAAGAGCATTCCATGGAATATAACAAAAAGTGTTTCTCAAGTGAATTACCTACCCCACCTTTAAGATTCAAATGTTGACAGTGTATCTACTCATGAGGTCTTTTGAAGCAAATGGAAATTGTATAATATAAAACAATCATGGTTTGCCGTGAGGAAATGTTTCTATCAACTGCCTTGTCAGCCCTTGTTAGCGAACCATATCGATCAAACACTAATAACACATTACATGTCCTCATGGATTGAAATAACTATCACACTTCATGATTAAAGCCATCTGTTAGGATGTCATGGAAAAATAAATGCACTGTAATTTCCTCATATGAGGCGACCGGGAGGTGTTTGGCTTTCTACGATCTTCATTGTGATTTTTACTGACAATATTAACACTGTCAGTAATACAGTAGGCAGAGTGATACTAATAAGCTCTCTGCTTCCTCACATACCATCACCATACGGGGATGATTATGTGGACATGTTTGATGTTTATACCTGTTGTGTACTTCAGTCTTTCATTAGTCCTCTTAATCTCTTCTGTTTCGATTGCAAGTATGTGGTCTTCATGCTAGACCACTCAACTTCCTGTGAATGTAAAGTTTGAAGAAAACATCACAAGTAGACATAATTGGTTTAAATCATGAATACATTTCTCACTTCTATTTCATCTATGTATTTGCTTTCTGGAAGCGTTCATGTGTCTCCCTATTTCTCAAAGACATAGTGCCATCTAGTGTGCATTGGAGCATGTTGCATGCCGAGGATGCTTGTTGCAGTCATATTATTTATTCATGGCAATGCGCAATAAAGAGAGGCAGACTTTTCCCAAAGGCATTTAATCTTGTGAAAAGGTCTTTCCTCTTTCTGTCCTTAAAGCATCTGACATGTGGGTATTTTATGTTCATCAGGTACTTTTTTTTGTTGCAGTTTTCCTTATTCTAGGGAATTGTGTGAAACTACTCAAGTGATGTGAAATAGGAAGAATCCAACTTTCAGTCACTGTCTATAATGGCTATAAACAGCTTGTATTTCCAATACTTCACAATCTATATATCAGGGTTTCCGTTAGCCGGTAATTACCGGTTTTTAGCTGGTAAAATTGAATAAAAACCGATAAATTCAAAACCTGCCGGTCAAAATGTCCGATGCTCCGATCGATTGGCCGCCGATCATTATCGGCCGATATTCACTCTTAATAGTTTGATCTGTGCTCTCTATAAAGGCCGATCAGGAGAGCTGGATCTGATCGATATGGACATAAACGCGAGTGAAGTGTAACCGGACGCGAGACAGAGATCGGATCAGCTGCTGCATTATCACCTGAAGCCCCGCCCACTGTTTAGCGCGCTGCATGAGAAACTGACGGGCTGTCAGGAGAGAGAGGGAGGGAGAGGGGAAAAGAGAGGATCCGTTTCTCCCGTATTATTATTCAAAGTTAATGTAAACTTTGGAATAATGTACTTCATCTACTACAAGTAGTTTCTTTGAATGTAATAATTATGTTGTTTGTTGTTTGTGGAATCATTTATTGAAAAATGAATCTGAATTTTTCAATCTGTTACGATTATAAACTAAAGAAGCAATATAAAAATGAGCCCCATTAACTGAGTTTTAAACATCAGCATATCCGGTCATAGTCCGGTAATTACCTGCTAACGGAAACTCTGCTACACAATTCTTATTATTGAAACATGACCGGTAAGTTTCAAATGTTTTCGCTAAAATAAATTCTGTTCGGACATTTGACCGGCGAGAAAAAATCCTAGCGGAAACCCTGATATATATATGTGTGTGTAATAATCACAAGCCATTATTAGTCATCTCAGCCCATTAAAGAATATAATAAGTAATCTATTTACAGCAACAATAAATACGGTAGTGCCATGTTTACGAGAGGTGCTAATTAAATATGTGCATACACTAAAGATGAGTTCCTTATTCCCAGTTCAACTCACACTTGTTACAGGTTTTGCCAACGAAAAAAACTGTGAATCTCTCACTTGTTAAACTTAACTTAATGTGTGAGGTTTAGTCAAACATTGCCAGTCAATCTCTTGCATTGAGTGTAGCTTTGACCCTCGGGGCAGTATCAGAGCCGCTGAAGTGCTTTGGCATCAGTGTGACAGGATTAACACATCAAAAGCCGAGTCGGGGCCTACAGCAGCGTCACACAGTCAGTACAGCACCTTTCATGTTCTGCTCAGGTTCACCACAATTTCACGTAAGCCAACAGCAAGTCAGACGGAAAAAGATAATGGCGCCAACCTGCTGCTATCAGGCTTTCCCTCAACTTCAGTGAAATATGTCAAATTCTGTGTTTGATGAAAGATTGGAGTTCAACAGGCTCAAGTCAGGAAATGATATCTGAATATGTCACATGGCTGGGATGCAAAGAAGAATTTAAGTCTGACATTCAAGCTGAAATGATTGCTGCGAGCCTGCATGGTCTTACTTTCTCATGATGCAAACATTCGATAGATGACGTGGAGAGAAAATTAAACCGAAATCATTTTTGGGGAGTCAAAGAGTTAAGATGTCTTCGGGTTGAATCCCAAGATGTATAATCCCTTTGATAAGATGTGGTAATAAGTGACGGTGGGGCAGGTTTATAATGAGTTTTCAAATCAGATGTATCATGAGTAGCCTAACAGAGAGATTTTAAAAGACTAAAGCTCAGTTAGAACGTTCTTGACACAAATGCTTGTTACCTACTGTTTGTCATTAGAAACTTCAAGGAGATATTTCAGTATTTTTCTAGCTTTTACAAGGATGTTTGGTAATTAGTAATGATGATGAAATGCTTTGCGGGCAACAGCATAATTAAAGGAATTGGGTATGTGAACGGTTGTCATCAGAAGTCAAGGAAACGCGTTGTTCACACTGATATATTTTTTATTATTTCACACTTGGGATGAATAATATCTTAAATAACAAAATGTCCAATGTGCTGCCAATTAATATGTAGCCTACCGTCTTATATTTGCAGCATTATTTACTGTGTGTCGTGTTTGTATGAATATGATATGTGCATCACTTTCAGCTATAACTCAAAGGCTGAAACTGCTATATTGAAACCCAGACTGGATTTGATTTAACAGGGTTTTTCTCCCCACTTACAGTATGTAATGACCCCTATCTTTGCTTAGGTGGTTGACATAAAAGAGAAACTGAAGCTGTCAAAGAAATTTTGGTCCAACCTGCCCGAGGCGATGTGTTCGGAGGACAGAGTGACCGCTGGAAATGCCAGCGATGAGGACTGCTGGAATGGACATACCAAGGGCAGGTGAGTGCACCAGGCCCGGGGCTAATGCAGGCTTAAACAAAAGGTTACTTCAAATCCAAAGTCTGTTCAATTCAGTCTAATTCGGACTAATCCTAGAAATAATAGCCAGATTTGAACCTTATTTAAAAGCTGTGCAAGAGTTTGGCATAGTTTGACTGTTATTCATCAACCAATACAATAAGAAGTGACCTCTTTGGTTTGTATTCACCCTTTACTTTATATTCAAATGTACTTTTTAAAAGGCTTTCTAAATTTCTGTCAGTGTTATTTTTTGGAATTGTATGTGTTTTTATTCTTTAAAATGTGCATGGTGCGTCCGTCCCTGTTCATCTGATTTCATTTTTTGAGGAAAAAAGGTGCACGAGCAAAATAAATTCCCACCGCCATGGCTGAGGTCGCAGATAATTGTTTTTTGCCCCCTATATCCATACCATCAGCTGTATGATCAAAATATGTTCTGCTTTAATGATAACATTATTTGAATTACTCTAAACCTGGTGATTTAATCCTGTAGATTAGTTGTTGGAATTGGCTTGTATTGTCTGTGAAAAAATAGATATATGACAAAATAAATGATGCCCAGTGTTCATCAAATGTTGCATAACTCACTGAGATGTCAGAGGTTTGTTTTAGCCAGGGTGACCCGGGCTTATGGAGGGAAATGCTGTGGTGCGGCAGAATTTGTGAAAGGCCCTCACATGATGGCCTGCTGCTTATTCATCAGACAGGAGCGCAGGCAGCTGACGTGCTTACTCTGAAGAAATATATTACAAGTGTGTCAGAACATGACCCTCACAAGAAACATTACATGATTAGGATATATTTCACCATCACTGTTCTAACCTCTGAGAGCTGTTCTCAAATCTGTGAGAATTAGACCTCCAGTTTGAAATAATATTTATGTATCAGTACCCTTAGCCTTTCTCTAGTTCTTATTGACTTCAGACTTCTGATCAAGATAATTATTGGCACGTGAGAGAGCTCAGACTCTATAATCCGTTTGTCTAGTGGTCAGTGTACTCAAGTATAATCCATTCTTCAAAATTAGAAAACTAGTTTTGTTGTTTTGCTTCAAACAGAAAACACGAAAGTTTATTTTTTGCATAGTTAATTCACATTAAAAAAGTAAAATAGTACAAATGAAGAGATTGAACTGAAATTAAAATAATACTATCAAAATAAAAGTGTGTTTGACAGGAGAACAAGGCATTTAAATTGGTTGCCAGTAGCTTCATATCAAGCTAAAGTTAAATGTATAGAGATATTATATTTATGTGAGTGGAATTCATTCATATGTGTTTCTATTATATGTATCCCTATTTCATATTCCCTACCCAAGTTAAGAGCATTTATAAAAAATCCCCAGCAGAGGTCGCCATTTCCAACCATGAAGTTATAATATTAACATGGTTTCAAATATTATCTGACCGCACTTCATTCCCATATGAAGTGTATTAAAGTTCCTATTTCAGTTGTAAATGTCCTCTCAAGAGTGTAGTATAAGCATGACTTGACCATGACCGGATGTTCCCTCTCTTGTTTTAAATGTTTCCACATCCAGCTGCAAGTTTAGACCAATAACCACATTACATGTTTTCTCCAATAACCTACTATATTTGACATTTTTCTGTTTGTGTTTTTGAAATTCTCTGCATTTCTTATTACATGATACTATACAACAACTTTTTGGGGGACATACTATGGCTTTTCTATGTATTTAATATGGTTTAGTTTACCATGACATTTTTTGTAACAATTAGATTCACTTGACATAAAAAGTTCATAATATTATATCTACAACAAATACTGCTATACATACTTCACCACATACTTCGCCATACTTCGCCAAATATTCATAGATTTTTGTATCTTTTTTACATGACATGCCTTATTCAATACACAAGGGGAAATGAAAGTTACACCAAACCAAAGCACTAACCGTTTTTTTCGAATGTGTTTTTCAATGTTTTTGAACATTTAAAGAAATTGTCAACAAGCAAGTCTTGTGTTTTTCACTGGAAATAAAATTATAGACCAATTCAGTTATTTTCTCTTTGACACTCACTGGATTCCTTTTCCTTTTAACAAGCCACATTATGTTTATTTTATTTGTTGCATTTTTTCCCTTAAAAGGTACTTTCCTGAAGTCCAAAAGGATGGACTCACCAACCAGGTGAATAACCCCGAGGTGGCTGTGGACATCACCCGCCCTGACACCCTAATCCGCCAGCAGATCATGGCTCTCAGGGTGATGACCAACAAGTTGAAAAATGCCTACAACGGCAATGATATCTACTTTCAAGACTCAAGTAAGCAATTTGTCCCTTTCCCATTCACACACCTGACAACATGCTACTTTTTGTATTAAGGCAGGAAATGTGTTTGTTGGACCTGACTGGTCAAGTGCATACTGCAACTTGTCACTCATTTTGATTAGCTGTTAACTTTGAAATGGTACCTAACCTTGAGGTGGAAGTAATCGACAGAAGTAAAGCCACAAGAGGCACAGAGGGAGTAAATAACAGGCAGTGTGTCGAAAAACACTCGAAAAAAGAAGCTGTGACAGAATTCCTCGCAGCAACACAACTCTGCTTTCATTTGCTTTTCTGGAACTGTAAATAGTAACCTTTTAAATACTATGTGCACGCCTTTTCATTACATTACATTACATCTCATTTGTTAGACTAACGAATGTTAATTGTTAGAGCCTCACTGTGACTGTGAAGAAGTTCCTTTAACTCTCTATGGGGGATCTTTGTTTGCACAATCTTTTGAAACTGGACCTAAAAACAAGATAGTTAGAGCATCCACTCTTATGCGTCAGAGGCTTCAATCTTTGGCGTAATCACATCATCAGTTCAGCTCAGATGAATTGTTGACTATTGTTTACATTTCCAGTGGTGTACTCAGTCTGCTTGTGTTTTGTTCTGGTGTTGCAGGTGATGAAGGCAGCGGCTCAGGCAGTGGCAGCGGCTGCACAGAAGCCTGCCCCACAGAGGCGGGCGGTGCTGCCTCAGAGGCCCCGGTGGTGGAAGCTGATCGGCGCGGGCCTGTGGACGACTCAGCCCCGCTCCGAGCTCCCTCTGTAGCGCTGCCAACCATTCTGGCCCTCTCAGCCCTGGCACTCCACCCGCTATGGAGATAATGCTGGAGGAACCGGCTAAACATGGACAGCAGGGTTTTCTTTTCTTTTTGCAGTTTTTGTATTCGGGCAGATTGGAGCTACAGTCATGCTGCCAGCCTGGAGGCTAGAAGAGTCTGCTCTGAAAAAGAGAGCAGCCATGCATCGTGATTTCCCACTTTCCCAAAGATCGTGCAGTGCCATCCTTAGACTTGACATTTTATGGCATCACCTCTCCATCTAACACTGATGCCGACCCAACAAACTCTGCTTCAGAGATTTCTTGCACATATGGCAGGTATTAATGTAGTTCTCCATGTGGAAAAATATAACACGCACTTTGATTGTTTTGATTTTCTTTTTTATGCAAAAAATTGTTTGTGTGTTGAAAAATGTTGAGAATGTGGTCACAAAAGGTAACATTATTTTAAAACCAAAACAGTGGATAATGACAGAAAATGAAGGAACATTTCTGCCTCAAATTTTTAATTGAATCCTTGTTCCATCGCCATTAAATCATGTGCCAATTATTGATTTTGGATGTTTTCATCATCATATATCCATGTTTGTTTTTAGAACAATCGTGTTGCTTAATCTTACTGAATCGTGTTGCTTAATCTTGTGTTTCACAGTCATTTCAACCATGGTGTTTGTTAGCTTAAGCGTATCATTGGTTTGTCATGGATCTGCTCTCTTCAACAGCCGCCTTGTGCTAAACTCACATTTTGTTAAAAGGGATAAGATTGACATTTTTGTATACTAATTTCCCTTGCAAAAAATTACAATCTTTATAATGCTGGTTTGTGTGCTTGTTTCAGGAGTTAACAGCCTGGACCGAATGCTAACAGTTACTTACAGACAGAGAAGGTCCCACCAGTGTAGAGTAATACCATCAAAGTGATGCTGGAAAACACATTTGAATCCACTCCAATATATAATGATTGATTCATAATGTCATGGTTTTCTTTTGAATTATATTATTTGAATTTTGTCTCCATAAAGGTAGTAAGCCAGTGTCAGCATTCAACAATTATTCACAACATCATTGACCGGTAAGCATACCTCTCAATATGAGGTACATAAATTATCCATTTCATGTCTTTAGATATGTAAACTATTCTAAACATACCATGCTGACATTATAAATGCCTTATAGGCACAATAATGGAAAATCATGACCTGGACATTGCCTTATAAAGGGCACACCCACTCAATACAGAATCACTGTCACAGGTGGAAATCTTGCACTGCTTGAATCTTGAAATTAACTTAAATTAACTTTTGGTTGCATTTTCTTCGCCATCCTCAGAATACTCTACAAATATTTTCACAAATATTACACATTTTTAAACTTCAAGAAATGTTTAATATTAATATACAGTGACAAAAAGAAGACTGAAACTGTTGCATATGTGATAATAGCCAAAGCGTATCCTGTAATTGATTTCACAGTTTGGATTAAAATATGCATTGTGTTTTAGCTCTACAAAACTGACATACTGTAAAACAGTAGTAAAAACAAGTGTTGCTATTTCTGCATATATATTAGCACAGTTCTTTAAAAGGTCAGACAATTATTAAGAAGTAGCAAACAGCACACAGTGGTTACTGGAAATGCAAAGAAAGGGCCCCTAAATGTATCTGTAAAGCTTGACTGGTTGTGTCTGCAGCACAGACAGGCTGGATGCCGACCACAGTCACCTGTGAAATGAGAATCTGTGCAGACCGGACAGGCCTGAACGCTCCGGTGCAGCTCCTCAGCAGAGCGAACTTACGGAGAATGTGAGAGGCCTGGCAGTGCTGAGGGGGAGGACAAAACCAGCCTGTTTGTTCTCTGAGAGCCAGCTCCATAACCACCAGGCCAGCTCAGCTTACATATCCCAGGAATTAACCAGTGTTCGCAGTATATCAGTGATTATTAGTCAAGCTTTTTCTTTATTGCAGTTTTATCCACATTGCAAGAACACAAATATATTTAATGTCATTTAAAAGGATTCTCTATTATGGTCTTACAGGATGCCCTTTTTATGTTTTGTATCATTGAACTTTTAATGGTAATATTTTTGAAATAAAACTTTAAAAATCAATGTCTGGTCAGAGAAATGATCTGACAAATAAAATTAGCAGGAAACACTTTAAGTCAACCTTTTTTTACAACCAATGCAATTCTGTATGAAGTTAAATACTAATGAAGGGACGTTTGATCGGAGTTTGAATCTTATTTCAAACTAAAAGGGGTGAATAACTAGTTCAGAAAATATGCCTTATTGTTTTCCAGTGCAATTCAAATGATTGCATTTGTGTTTTGTTACTGTTCTCAAGAATAAATATTTATTAAAAACATTCCAATATATTTGTATTTGTAGTGGCTGTTAAAAATACATTTTAAAATATAAATGTAAATTAGCTTTTGCTTTTAGAAGCTCACTATGCTACCAAAATAGTTAAAGCAAACATTCATTTTAATTGGTTTTGGGAATTTTCTTTATTTTTCAGATATAATCAATTGTTCTGATTTAAGAATTGATTTAATATTTCAAAGTCAAATGTAAGTTAATATTTAGGGTTAATATTGTCCTTTTGCATCAGAGTAAGGCATACAATACATTGGCTGCTCCATTTCTTTCAGGTATGTAAAAGCATTGAAGTGTTTTTCAGAACAACGGAGGCCTAGGCTTCCTCCTCTGTGTACTTTCTATTTGTGAAGTCTGCTTTTATCAGAGGTTCAAAGCCTCTGTTTCTTCGTTGACGCAGGTAGAGCACGAAGATAAGAAGAAGCGCCAGGAGACCGATGAAGACTCCCCCCAGAGTGGAGCCCAGCACAAACACAGCCGGCCCTCCTTCTTCATCTGAAAAGAATAAAGCATAGGTGGAAATTTTCAGAGAACTATTTGAAGCAGAAAAACAAAACAAATGTAAATGTCAGTCCTGGTGATAAGATGTTCAAAATTGTGATTTGATGAGGCTTATAATTGACAACAATGACTTAATGTTTCTCAGCTATTAACCTATACTTCAAAACTAACTTTAAAACCCTTTGTTTGCAACAGAAATTGGCAATTTGAAAACACTCAACTACCCAACAGAAACATTATGGTGTTAAAGAAGGATAATTAGTATTTTGCATCATGATTGTATGCATTCACCTGACTCAAGTTTCTGACCTATTTTGCCAGATATCTCATAAAGATTAAAAACCTATTTGTCACTTATGAGCATAAAACAATTCTGAGATTGAACTAAAGTATAGCCTTAAAGTCTTATCTGAGCTCAGGTGGAATTTAAAACATTTAAAGAATCTTGATCTGATTAAACAAAGAACAATTCAGTAAATAGTTTAATTGGCAGACTTTAGGGGTGTAAGCAGATTATGTTGGTTGGAGCCATGCTAGCTGTTTTCCAGTATTTGTGCTAGGCTAATCCAGCCTCATATTCAACACACAAATACAGTGGAGCTGATCTTCTCATCTAACTTTGTTAAGAGAGTGAATAAGAGTATTTCCCAAAACAGTAAAACTTGCTCACCATCAAGGGCAAGAGCATAAGAATATCCCAGCTCCTCAGATGCAATATAAATCTCCTCGTTGGTGATGGGAGGAAAGAAAGGAACCATGTTGAAGTCCCTGTTGTGACCAATGGGGGCCATCTCATCGGGGTAAGTGGCGTTGGATGGAACAAACCTTCTCATCCACTCGTCAAAAATGGCATCAGTGAAAGCGTGGAGCACCTACGAAATAAACAACAAAAGAAAGTTAAACCGTGGTGATTTCAAGGAAAGAAAAATCCAATGTGTACTTTCAGAGCAATCCATGAAATCAGATTCTCACCAGAAATATGGGGTCGTTTGCTGCAGAATGAGACAAAGCGCTCGTTCCATTCAGCATGGAGTGTACCAGGTTGTGAAGGTTATTGACCGAATCATCCAGTTCACCATCTGGTTTCTCGTACCCTTCCAGAGCATTTCTGTGGGTCAGAAAGCACAAAGTCTGATGGGTTTTGTAAAAACATAGCAGGTTAAAAATAATTGATAATACATTTTTGACTTTAGTACCTAAAACTGAAGGATGAGTTGGTGAAGTATGGAGGGCTGTCGAAGTCTCTGATTCCCAGACAGCTTCTGACGTCGGTCATGGTGGGCAAAGACGTGTTTGCCCTCTCCATTATCCCTCTCTGAATGAAACCCTCGCCGGTGCCATTACACAGAGTCGCGAGCTGATTGTACTCATCCAAACTGGAAATTAATAAAATGAAACATTAAAATGTGATTTCCAAACTAAAACATGCATTAATGTGCCTGATTGTTTCATCATTATCAAACCATTAATGATATAGTCTGTTTACTCTCCCATCATGCTTTTGGGCTTACTTGTCACACACCACGCCCCATCTGGAGAACCTGGACTGGTTGCTGATGAGAGACGGGTTTTCTGGGTTTCGGCCCCCCAGCAGAGAGTCGGTGCACACGTCGCACTCACTTTGACCTGTGGCAAAGTTCCAGTACGGGATTGCAAAGTTCTCATTGCCGGTTAATCTCTGCAGACAAATGTTTTGATATAAGTTTACATTATTAGTAAAAATGTTTATTAGGGTGATCAACATCAACACTTTTGACGGTCCTTTCACAAGCCCCAACAACTTCACTCAAACACTTAATATCCTCTACTTTTCTCTCGCATTTTTCAAATGTTGGACCAATTGTCTGATTCTTTAAAATCTTCAACATTGACAACAAATTATAACTAACTTGGACGGACAGTATGGGACATTCAGAAACACTTGTTTTTGATATGAATAATATATTTAAGGCCGGTAGCCTCCTCCTCAGAGTCACCTATGTGGAGCTGTGTATTCACCGAAGTGTTATTGAATGATAAAGTAAATAATTGTATTGTTACTTTAACAACTTGTAGAACTTTTTTTTTTATTAAGCTGTGGTCTGGAAACAATATCAGACTCTGATATGCCAAGAATAAGTATAAGATAATAAAATAAATTAACGATTAAAAATGTCATGCAAAAGTACACATATGTAGGAATGCAAAGCTGATCGCCCCAATGAGAATTATAGTTTACAGCGCCAAAAGACTATTCACACCCAGTCATGTCAGAACAACACAACTTGTTCTCCAAAGTGTACACATACCTGTAACTCTCGTTCCAAGCTGAGGAGGTGATATCTGTGCCATGTGATGAAAGCTGGTCCTTTGTGTGAGAAATCAATGGCTTTGAATGGACGACCTGGACCTGAAGGGAAACAAGGTGCGTCATGAGCTCTATGTGATCACAAGGTGACCTCATTATTTCACAAAGACATCATGCTGTTAAATATACTGTTATATGTAAAACAAACATTTGAATCCTTGTTAGAGCAAACAAATACTTTTGATGTATCACAAATAATTTCTATCATACAAATCCAACACTTCCCAAACTTTTCAGTGTGTTTTAAAAATATGGATTAGGTCCAGACATCCTAATAACTAATCATTTTGGAAATAGTAACAATAGTTTTAAAAGAAATGTGACCATGGTCTTTTACCAATAAGCGTGTCCCGGACAGAGTAGTAATGCTGCCAGACAAAGAAGTCGTAGATGGAGATGTTAGTAAACTGGGGCTCGGTTCCATTTGGTCCCAGGAGTCCCAACCAGTGCTGGGTGGCAATGATGTAGTCTGGTTGGGTGGTGTTCTTAGACAGCTCCAGGACATTGAGGAACTCCTGGAGCTCTTCGGGGGTCAGGGAGTGGATGTTCTTCCTCACAACAGTAGCTTTCCTTTGGTCACAGTTTGGTCCGGTCCAGCCAAATTTGCACTGACCACAGTCATAACCTGCAAAGGTACCTGCAACACACAGAGAAAACTAACATATTAAATCATGTTGATGCTGTTTTATGTTCAGAATGAGCCATTTCTGGAGTTAAATGTTTGAAAACATAGTGAATTACTCACCAGTGCATCTGCAAGTCTGATTGAAGAATTTGGTGGGCCACCTCTCTCTGTCATCAACATTTCTCAGTCTGTACGGACCTCCCCAGGGTTTGTTGTCCACTCTAATAGCCGCGCAGCTTCCTCTCCCCGACAGAGAGCCGCACACATTGGCAGGATCTGAGCCCAGAGCGGGGCAGCACAGCTTGGACACAATCCCCTCCACTGTGCAGCACACTCGTGGAAACTGAGCATCTGCAGGCTCAGGCCAGAGCAGCAAACAAAGCA